CGTTTTTACAATCTGCGCGCGTCTTAGAAATACTTGGACACGAAAACTTTACATAAAGGCGTATAAATCCAGGAATTTGCTTGCATCTTGCTTTGCAAACTATACAACTATAGTCACTATGTCTGCGATCATCGTCAGAACATTGTGAGCAGTGAGGAATGAAAGCCAGTTTATGAACAAGTTTAACGAGTTTTTGGTACGAACTGGGCTTCAGAATTATAGTTCCAGGACGTCAATCTGTGCAAACAAAGCCATGTAGAAATTATATAAAAAGTATAAAAAACTGATTACATGATTGCTTGTACAAAATTATTGCATTAGAAGTTCAATTTATTAATTAGAGGATCCTATTATACACCCAAACGTATTGTTTTTTAGTTTCCCCCAAGGAAATTCCTCCGTTTAAACATAAACAATTTCTTTAGAGCTTTATCTCTGCTTTAACCGTAAATATTATTATTTTCAAGCAGATTTTTCACTTCTATTTGCTTTGGCACTTGTGATTTCACTCAGTGTCATCAGGATAACTTTATCAGCTCGATTCCTTCTTCCTTCTGTAGTTTTATTTTAGAACCTCATTTATCATTCTGTCTAACTTGTCAAAGGGATGTTACTTTCACCAGAGCACCTTCCCAGACTCAAGAGACATTTGTGAGCGCCCACAAAGGTTTGGGAGTGTTTCAAAGGGTATTTTCTCTTTAGAGTAAGGAAATTGTAACAAATCATTTCGAATTTAAAAGCTAGAAGTTTAGAAACAACTTGCAGCGCCGGAGAAGCCAGGAAAGGCTGCGAAGAAACGTCTTACAAAGCTAACATTATGCAGYATGAAAGGTACGAATTCCGTCGCTCAGTTGTATTTCGACAGACAACAGAAAATTAAAGTTGTTTTAAGGCTTATCTAAGCAATATSCTTCTAAAAATGATTTGCCTGRAACGCAAATTCTTACTCGTAAACGTAAATTGACAATGCTTGCGGTAGGGTTTGTGCCATTGCGTAGAATTGTACAAATTAAGAGATGTGAACAAAAAATAAACACACTTTCAAACATTGGTTTCTTCGTTTTATTCGTTATTTATAATAATATTTTCTTGAATTATTAAACATGTGTACGGCTTACAAAGCTGCATGATGATTTCTACTTCGTTCTGCATAGAAAGATTTATGTTTTGAGAATGAATGTTAAGCTTAACGAAGCTTTCATAATCAACATGGCGACAGAACTACGATTCATTTCCACTACGGATTTAAGTCTGTTTGCCTACATTTTAAAGTGTTTCCATTGCGTGCCTTGCTGTTTAAAACCTAAAACGTTTTTCTACTTATGACGTTTGAGAAATGTATAGTTATTAGGCGAAGTTAAGGATCGATTTTCAAACGTTTATATAGTTTTATTGTTCCCAAGCGAGTCCGCCGGAAAGACGAAATGAAGTATCATCCGTCTCTTTTGCGGTCGAAAAGCCTCGAAACTATTCAATATTCCTAATACAATAATTGTTATAAAAGAGTTGATATTCCTTACAACTTTGTTCCTTAATTGATAACTTCATCCAATAAGAATTAGGATTTTTTTTACAATGGTTTGCTTGGGAAAGTCTCATGCCGCGCCATGTTGACGAGTTTTTGTAGTTCAAGGCACCGTCTTTCCATATGTTGCAGACAAATAGAAATTTCCATTGAAAAGCTCAGAAATTACAACTGATGTAATCTTCGTACTTTAAGTTGTGGATGATCAAAGTTTGGCGCTTTAATAACGAATTAATATAATGGTAATGGCAGTTATTTAATTGTCCACAACGAAGGCGACTGAAAACCCGATATCATCAATGTTTGAGTTTTCACAGTTACTTCACACTTTTACCGAAGACTTCTCACTCAATTCTCGCTTCGAGCAAAACCATTTATACCTCTGAACAGTTTCTTACCCAAAATTTGAAGTTCCTTTTCCTGTACTACTAACAAATCGCCGCAAACGCCTTTAACTTCTTGTTGGTTGAGAAACGTCTTCTTGACGCTGTGACTGCTTTTCGGGATTGTTTCTTCGTCCTTTTCCAAGCAAATCTACTTCTTGTGTAAAGATTTTAGCATTTTTCTAGCGTTATTTCGAGTATGAAACTCTTCATTCCTGTGCTTAAATGTTTCCTGTGCTCTAGTACGGGAATCTAATAGTCATTAATCATTCCAAATTTAATAAACTTCGAGACATTCTTGAAATAACCGATTGAATTTCAAAGGTTATATAAACTGCTGAAAGAGCTTGGCAGATTGCAAAACCCTTACAGAAAAGTGTTTATTTTAAAGAAGTTTCATCWGTGGTTCWTGAAACGTTATAAGGAAACARAAATCAATGGTATTTTGGTTTAAAAATTGAGGTATTGTGCGAAAATMCGAGAGATGACAACAGAAGGCGTTTCATTGAACACTCGAGCAGCAAWGATGYGGCCATTGCGTGTCAAGCCCTTTCCACCATATGTTAATTTTCTTCATYGAAAGGTAAAATAAACTTTATTTTAACTTTAAGAACTACTTGCTTGATTTTTTCCAATAMGTTTCTGTAAGAAAATGTACAAACACTGTACAAAAACACTTTCTTTCGTGTTCAATTGAKTGTTGTTCACAATGTCTTCTGCCATGTTGTTGAAGTTCTGTGTTTCCGTTCGACCTTTTCATTGTCTAAATACCTTCAATGAAAAGATTGCTCATTTTCTATTGACAAATATCCATAGAAATGACGGTTTAACTGTATTTTCTGAGAAGGAAGCTCCATTTAAGTCCCACCATCGTGGCACAGCCGAAGACCAATGTTGCGCCATGGATTTCTCGTCACTTCTCGACAGTTATTTTTACAGCAGACCTTTAGTAGCATCTATGACAAAAGTGGGGCACACAATGTGGACATGTATGCCATAACTCGCAGGTGTGATTCAATAAACCTGGCGGCAAAACTCTTTGGTAAGGTATGTGACTGCTTGGATGAGCTGTGGGACGTGGCGKAGAATGAGGACAGCTTACTGYCGGCGYCTTTGGCAGGACTCCTGTACGGTGGCAAATGTAAAAGACAAGGAYAAGTTAAACGCTTGCACTTACCAGCGCATTTCAATGAACAAGTGCGGCTTTGTAATAAACTGATTACCAGTCCACGTTGATTGAGTTAAGTCAATGTTTAATTCTGTTGCTTCTTGAACTGGCTTAAAATCCTTAAATCTAAAAAGCTGCCAAAAGATTTGCGCACATTGACTTCAGGTTTTTAATACACGAATTATGGAAGGATTCAGTAATTTTTGGGGGCTTTTTGGTATCCGTAAAATGGATTTTTACAAAGCATATTGTAGGCACGCTCCTTCACTTAAAGTGTATATGAACGATTCTGATAAAACATATTCAGACGTTAGAAAACTAGATTAACTTGGCTTATTGTAAAGTTCTTTTCAAGGAGTTTGCTCGAGTGTTAACACGACTCGTGAAGATGATTTATCGATCTCGTGTTTACAAATTGCTACCCGGGATGCGCTCCCCTGGATCCATCACACCAAGATATCATTCTCATTAAAACTTCACCATCAACAAATCAATTTACTCTTGCGTTTAATCTTAGTTTTACCTTTTTTTTTCTTGTTAACTTATGAATTTATTTTGAAGTGACGTAAATTGTAATGAATGATCTGTTGTTTACTCTAAGAAACTGTAAGTYTGATTTGAAGAGAGCGATTTTGAGTAACCTTTCAGCAATGSCATTTGTGAATTGAATGCCTGCTTGATAGTTCTTAGAAGCATTGCGCAGTCCTCAGTACAGCACACTCCAGCTTTAGCGCAGTTCATAGTAAAACTAMTGCTTAGAAATCAAATACTTCTGCGCTATCTGGTAGAGGTTATGTTTYACATCTAAGAAAGTGCTTGTTAGCTTCTCGGTTACTATAGGTTGTAAATCGTAATGTATTTGACATCTATTTAACCTTCATTCAACCCCAATTTGCACTGTATACCACTTTTGCCAACAAAGACAGAAGACTTGCTTACAGATCGACTTTGATTGCACAATATAGTTATGAACAATGTAAATTTACCTAACTGACAATGTCGCGCGCAAGTTGCTGCATTATTTGATATTAAAAGTTCCGCTGTTCAAARTGGCTTAAGTGGCCTGGAATCAGAGGATCGCTTCTCTGTCATTGGAAAGTAAAATCTTACTAAGCTKTGGYRACTATCCTTAKTTTCGAAGTACTCMTTTCATGCACATTCATTTCTGATAGATTATTAGGGTCAAGTAGAAAACCATTGTTCCAAACCATACGCTTCATATSAGAGGAAATCCAAATCCGCGAAAAAGGTGTTGCCTAAACCCCTAATATATACAGGAAAAGCTTATAGGACTTGATGGTTGGGAGAGATGTCGCTAAGTTCCGCTGTAATTTGTGTTACTTAGAGGGTAATTAGCTTAAAACAACTTAACGCACGTTAGGACTGTTTACAATAGCAGCTAACTTCCAACGGTGTTTCTTTCCAATTATTTTAACCTCAGAGAAAACACTCCTTAGCTTAACATAACAACTAGTTTGTGTTCAAAACAGACTTTGAAAACTGTTTATTTTAAGTCTGGTTAGTTGAGCTCTTTATTTCAATAACTCATGAAATTCAGAAGCCCACATGGTACACTTACCTAAGCTTATGCAGGGATACGTTTGGATAGTTTGAGGCGGTGGGTCATGCCTTGGTGGAKGGATTGTAGAGTTCGTTCTTTCGTCGAGGTTKTCATCAGAYAGGATGCTTTCAATGGAGAAAGATCCACGGAATTTTGGTGAAGTGGTAGCTTGCTGGCTAGAGTTTGTTGCAGGTATTCTATGCTCATTGGAAGTCAATTGAGGAAGCACTAGGGGACTGTGGTGGGGTTCTTCAAATCTTGCATTATGGTATTCTCTTGTATGGTCAGCCAACAGCAATCTTTCGCGTCTTGTTGTAATTTCACTCTCTCTTTTCTTTGGCTTTCGTCGTCTTCGTCTTCTAAAGCTGCCATCAGAGAGAAGGTAATCGTTGAGTGAGCTGACTGTCCAGTAATTGTCCTTTCCCCACGGCCTCGCGGGATCTCGCAGTATCTTCACAAAACACTTGTTGAAGGATAAATTATGGCGCACAGAATTTTTCCATCCTTGATAAGAGCCTCTGAAAAACACGTAGTGCTTGACGAGGTACTCGTTTATTTCTGTCAAAGTAAGCCTCTTTTCTGGTGAGTTTAGGATAGCTGTAGCTATCAACGCAATRTAGGAATGCGGTGGTTTCATACGCTCTTCTTTGTCCATTCCCTGCGGTTTCTGTTTCAAAGACATTACAGCTTCAAGTATAGTTAGGGAATGATATTTGCACCTCTGGGTCGTCGTGTGTCCGCCTTCCTTCAGCTCGTGCACCTATGGGAGTCAGGAGTCTATGTTTTGTACATTATCATTTTGATTGATTGGTGGCCAAGTACCTTTGATGAGTGTCTAATATTTATCTGGCTATTATTATAAAACCCGGTGTAATCTCTTTTCACAAATCGTGGGGCTGCCAATCATGGCACCACCCACAAAGTATCAATTGCTGTTTACAAAGTAGAAACGTGGTCAATTAGAGCTACTATTAGAACGGCACTCAAATGCGCTAAGCAAACATTTGTTTAGAGCGCGCAATTTATCRCCCTTATTGAAAGCTTTAGAGAACTTTGGAGGACTTCTTTGAAAGGATGACTAAATCCTTTGTAAGTATAAGTGGACTTTGATTATTTTGTGCGAGGCGTTGGGTCGTGCGCACGCCTGAAGACAATTTGATACAACTATCGGCACAAATCAGCGTAGAATTCGAGGCGCGTTTTTCGGGTTTATCAGCAGTACATCGAGTTGAGATCAACATGATAGGGAAATTAATTAAGCGGCATCTTAGCGGTGATTTCTTTGTCCTTGGCGTTAAACAGATCCCCTTTCTAATTCATCTTCATTACCGTCAGCAAATTAGCCTCGATGGCGACTGAGCTCAGGTCGTTTGCGTCCATCACATGCCGGCCTGGAGTCATGAGATAAAACGTTTTGCTCGTTTGGGCTCATTWAACATCGATACACAGGCGAAATTAAGAGTTTTGTTTATTTAAACGAGCGTAAATTACTCATGAAATTTTATGCTGGAGTCAAAATGCTTGACATAATAGTTTGATATTTCTTTTCATTCGTGATGTTTTATCCTTCTTAAATGATGAAAAAATTGCCGCAAATTATCGCTCTGTTTTCCTCTCCAGACAATTTGACTTTGCCCAAGGTTGCGTCGTAGTAAAGTGCTCTTAGTGTCAATCTAAACTACTCGCTTGTTGAGATATTTTGACCCTTGTTTAAAAAATGTTTAAATTATTCTTAGCAAGAGAGAGATATTTCAAAAACGCTCTGAAAGTCAGTATGTTATCGCATGGGATGAGTTGTTTATACAGTGGATCTGATTGGACRAGAGAGTCTTTTCTACGTTGCTGATTGGCTGAAAGCTTYGGGAAGCCATTCGAGTGTTTTCCRCCATATTGGWCGCGCGTCTGCATGGCACAGAATTTACTCTTCTTTTCAAAAACCCTTGAAATTCTTYAATCAAGGTCAGATATAATAGCGCYATTTACAAGTGAGAAACGTTTGTTTTACCGYGATTAATGCTTACAAGAAAACTCAAGTGAASAARAATGATGACAATTTAACCTTTGTTTTATCAACAGCGACTCAGATCGCAAAATCCCTTCCTAAGTGATGCCATTTTTTCGATATTTTTAAATTCTTTGTGGAGTAAAATTCCACTAAAATTCGTCGCTGTAGGCGATTCTCAATTGTTTCTAATTAGAATCKCAATTAGTTTTGTCGGATTTAAAGTGCTGAAAGATTATAAACACACAAGACATGGTACAGTTGTCAGGCGCGTTATTTTAGGAGCAATTTGTAGTCAATTCTTTTTACAACTATTTAAAGACACTAGTTTATTGTAAACATACTTCCATGGTGTGAAGTGAGGAGTGAAAAAGAGTAAAAACAGGGCGGAAAATTCAATACTTACAATTCGATATCTAACACGAAGGAGGATAAGAATTTTCTTTTTTCTAGACACGCGGTTGGCCACTTATCGGAATGAAAACTTCATACTGCCGAGTTTTCAAGCACATATTTCAAGATACTACAAATTATAAGCAAAATATTTTCAAAAAATATAATTTTTTTAACATGTTGTTTTTATTATTTTATCTTATCGCTCAAATCCAGTTATTATGGTTTAGATGGATCTAGTCCTTCGGTGTCCTAACCTTTTTCTAGGTTAAGCATTAAAATTCTTCAATGTTAAGCCAATTCAAGTATTTTCACAAAGTTAGTCACGATATATGGAGATTTTTTTATTTTGGTGTTTTAAACCAAAGTTAAACAAGGTTTTTGCTTGCTATCTTTGTCTCTAGTGTATGTAATTCTTGTTTTTCCGTAAGATAAGCAGGATCAATCAATACTGGATTAGGGCTAACGTACTGATAATTCGTCATTGTCACCGTCTGTCACATAGCATTAGTTGCAATAGAAGTGGATTCTATGATAATTTACAGCACTCGTGCATTGGCTTCCATAACTTTATGGTGCAAAGTGACTATATTCATTCACTATAATAAATTGCTTGATATATTGACAAACACGAAAACCCATGAACCAAAATGATCTATTAGTACATAGGCCACCCAACTATTGCATTAGAGACAGAAAAGAACAAATGCGCACGCTTTTATTTTATGTATATGATCTGCGCGTGTCACAGATTAGTATGTACTTTCCAGGCGCGGGATCGTGACGTAACACCACAGGTAACCCGAATTTTTCTAAGACCACGCGCCGATAGCATATACATTGCGTGAGCATTCGTTTTTTTCTGTCTCTAATGTAATAGTTGGGCGGCCTATGACTTAGTATAGGAAATCGCACGACCTTGAGTACGATTTGGAACTAATTGACACGAGTAAATGTTTTGAAAGTTCTTCGTAATTTCAGTATTTGAGAACTTTCAAAACATAATGAGTGACTATTAGTTCCAAATTGCACGAGAGATTGTGCGGTTTTTTTTGTTTATTACCTTCATTTAAACAAAATTTTATAAGGAGTACAATTTTAATTGTCAAATAAAACGCTAATTGTATTCCTTTCGGCCAAGGAAAAGKWTTATTTTGTTGAATGTACTATAAGGGCTATATAACAAAACTTATATCCTGGTTGGCTTGCTAATCTAGGCCTGGGGACATTGGTTGAAACATAACCATCTAGCCAAAGTATTACAGGACTTACAGTCAAGTGCAGGCTTGAAAAAAAAAGCAAACAAACAAACACAAACAAACAAACTCTGACCTGCTCAGGAGCACTGTGCTCAATCTAGAATTGCGAGAGGCWTTCGACTTCGTTTCGTGTTTTCTTTTCTACGGCCCCAGACGTTTGCCCGACAATATTCTAATAATWTTATGCTGTTCGGATGATTAAAAATCTTGATTTGCTGAGGGCTMAGAGAGCATGTGACTCGTGGGAAAATAAAAATTCGGCAGATTGGCAGTGATTTGCAGCTTCTAAATTAAACCTTTCCAATATTTAGGCTCAAAACCACATTTATGAATTCTTCAAAATCGAGTGTGATGGTTCCACGCATGTTTTGATCGTGATATCGAAACGCGTTTGATAAAATCTGTAAAAAAAAAAAGAAGAAAAACACATAAATCATCTCATACAGAATATACCTAAAACCTGATTGAAAAAAAACCGTAGTCGCGTTCTAATTGATGAAAGCTATGACCGAAAGGGAACATGGGAAAGCAAATATTACGAGTAACTTTTTTCGGTGATAAAATCATCTTTTCATGTAGAACTATTCAACCTCGCTCCCAGGCCCTCAAGCAGAGGAATAAGGGCATGGGAACGAGGTTGAGAACTATTACGAGTATAGCAGTGCTATACACCCTTTTAATAAGTCCCGAGTTATCGAGTTCTCCGCAATTGACATCAAATTTATTCTTTTGAAATTTTTACAATACAAAAGGAATTCAAAAGAATAAATTTGACGTCAAGTGCGGAGAACACAATACCTCTGGACTTATTAAAAGGGTTTATACAACGGGAGAATCTACGCAGCACTCAGTTGATTAATATATTCATAAAGATATAATACAAAACACATAATACAATAKAAMGAGRAACAATGGAATACAATACATTTTATGAATACATTACATCAACTGCGTGCTACGTAGGTCACCCCGCTATACAACATTGCCTGCACTAAATAAAATGACCTTCTCTACGAGTTATGCTGTAAAATTCACATGTATAAGGTATGTAATTATTGTTTGAAAATTTTGAGTACTTAAAATCCCCTTCGGTTTAAGCTTCCCTTTTTGCGAGCCAGCAACGTATTCAATAGCCGACCTTAGATATTTTGGCTCAGTGACCATGCTCCGGAGATCCGGAGATCGAAATAAAAGAATAAATCAAGATTAGCCATTGTAGTCCCGGAGCCTCGTGTGCGTTCTTTTGTACATAGTCATCGAACAAAAATGTATAAAGAAGTTGACTATTAGGTGTGTTTTTGTGAAGAATAACACACACAACTGCATGATATATGAGTATACGATAGTGATAGTGCAATGATCATGATACACTTTTCTCGAGCAAAGCATGACGGTACATATAGTCTCCACGCTTGTTATGTCGCCGATAAAATACTCCACAAAAACTGTTTCAGTGTTGTATTTTGTATTTTGCAAAGTTTTATGGTTCTAGAATTGAAACACAAAAACGGACTTGGCGGATTCTAAAGGCCCACTTGCACCCTTGAGCCTTTGCGATCGTTTCTTTTTTCAAGTTGCTCCCTGATTGGCTGAAAATCAAATTCGTTTGAGAGAAAATCGCGAAAAGGCCGGTTCTTGAATGCACATGGGCCTTTGCTATTGGCACCTTGTTTATCCGGCCATCGAAGAACGGAATGGCCGAATAAGTGGGTTYCCATGTAGTGATAAAAAACGTACCTGCAAAACCACGCAGCATTGGATAAAATCATCAAATCTAATTTCACCTTGACCTGACCGATCAAACCTTCTTATCATCAGCCTGTATATTCTATCAGATAATTTGTGCCCTGTTACGAAAACAATTCAAACATATCAGTTAATTAATATAACAACAATATACCATTCAAAAATTATGTATGATGAATTCTCGTGGTTTATATATACCTCTTTCAAAAAAGATTTGTTGGGGCGATTAGAGAGTGCACGACCGAAAGTAACTATGGTATTGATTATTGATGACAATATCCATCAAAAGTACTCAATACTATTGAAATCAAGATCTTCGATGATAATTTGAATTGTCTGCTGTCTAGCTTTATGTAATTTTTGCAATTAAAGTGAGGATTATCCATAAAAAGTTATCAATTACACAGCTACGTTCGGTTGTGCAGTCGTCGCAGCTCCTTTCCGACAACTGTTATTTGAAATAGCTATATATACGGCAATTCCATAARTAGGGTAGCCCTCCACGGTTTTGCAATATATTATCCCAACAGGTTTACTGCCTCTTTGTCAAACAAAAGAAAACAATAGGATTTTATTAGGGAAACAATGAGCATTGTTTTATTCCTACAATCACAAGAAACCTTAGAAACTCGTGAAGGATAACAGCATAAATAAAACGTAGAATACTGAATACTGTTTACTCAAGACCGCACTGCATTGTGGATCTGCGTTACAAAATGACTTCGTTCTCTCAGGAAGAAATAGAACGAGTAAAAGCGGAAATTTACCTTACAAACCGGCACATATATTAAGTTAAACGATTAAATTTTGCCTTTCGACGATCGAATTCTTCTTCTAGACCACGATAATAATGCGCGCGCTGAATGATGGGATGGTGCTTTCATTGAATCAACCACTCGTCTTCTCGTGCACGCGCGMCGTTCGCCTGGATCTCGATAGRTCTTGACTATACAGAGCTGCAATGGTCATTCTGACTCCAAGAAAACAGCGATAGAACGACTAATAATGCRGTTCGGTCTTGGAATACACTATCTTCAGTATTCAACATTTATATTTTCTGAATTAACTGTACACRGCACGCGGGTACTGACTGTGAAGAATAATCATAAGCAGGACAAATATACAATATTGCGTAAGACTTACCAAAACTCGTTAAAGCTGAAAAAGAAAAAGTAAAATGACTCTGACCGATTGCACGACAGTATTTATCAGAAAGAATGCAACGATAGGCATCATTTTCCAGCCGAGGAAAGGAGAAAACCCACCATGCATTGATATGATAATGACAAAATTCCTGTTTGGTATCGGATGTGTTTTAGACATATGTATTTAGACATATGTTTTAGAMATACTGTATTTTAAATTTCCTTTTGTACCTAACCCCTTACTCTGTAAATTCTTCCTCTATTTCCCTGTACCTTTTTCCCTACCTTTCCTCCGATTTCACCATTTCCYTCCTTTGTACTTGCTTTCTTCAACTTCCCTGTTTCTTTCACGTTCATGAACCTTTCCCACAACTTCCCCTCTGGATCTTCATCCCTTTGTACCTTTTTCCTCCCTTCTTCTGCGATCTATCTCCTAAATTTCCCTGTATTTTCCCCTGTGTCTGGCTCTTTGCAGCAACTCCATCTCCTTCCCCCTTTCCTGTAACTATATCTCCCCTCCTTGTATCTACTCCTCCTTTCCGGCCTGTATACATTAATATATTCTCTCTGCAACCTGTCCGTATATCGCAAACCAATCTTCCTACCCTAAATTTATCATCTCGCTCTATATCCTCCTTTACCTTTCCTCTCCCTAACCCTGTATCTATGCCCTCCCTCCTATACCTTTCCCTCCTTTCTACCGGCTACCTTCCCCATACACCATCTCAAATACAACCCCTGTAAATGTTAGCTTACCAATTTCAAGCTCTTCTCTGTCGATTGTTCCAGAATTGTCTTTGTCATAAGATCGAAATGTTTGCTCCCAGTCGCAGATGTATTTCCACAGAGAAAGAAATTCGTCGAACTCGATACCACCGGAATTATCCCGATCAAACATCCCTAAATGAATATGAAACAGTGTTTTAAGAAGCGTATGACTTTGTGGAAAGGCATGAATCACACAGAAATGGCCATTATTACTGTGCGTTTTTATGCACATACAAAAACTGCTCACTTCTTTCCAATCTTCCTGGGTGTGTTATTTAAATAGCACTATAATGATGCTGACAAGTCTTTTGTTTGAATTATGCTTAGTATCTATGGTTTACCTATCATAAGACGAACAGTTTCGGGGTTGAATGGAGTCCAAGAGCCTGTGGAAACGAATACAATGATTGAATAGGTCTTGGTCTTAAAACAATGGAACATTAAAGCTGGAGTCGAAAAGGCACTTTGGGAGCGCAGAAATTACTTGTTTTCTGCGACGAACTGTGTGCTAAATAATGAGTTAACACAGTATTTCCATTCTAAAAATGGTGGTCAATAGTCCATTTGCATTRTGTCGTAACTTTACTACAACTACCAGAAAGCCTTGCGCATTTTCATTGTTATTCAGATTTTTAATCCCCTTGGAGGTTAAGAAAACAATTGGCACTAATTGCATTACAAAAGAAAGTTGGCAAGGCATTCTGGTAGTTGTAGTAAATGACGCCATAATGCAAATCGGCTATTTACATGAGAGCTGTAAGACTAGCCTCTTTCTTCTAGTGCACCAAATAAAGCTTTTTTTGGTGAATGAAAATTCCTTGGTTAAATTGGTCCACGTACCATCATTCGGACTAGGCTATGTATATGCATCATTTCCATCTCGCTTTCTGTATGTTCGACATAGCTATTTAACGSCGAAAATTGTCGATTACATGTATTTGCTTAGACGGAAGTGAATTTTGGGAGGCAACTTCAAATRCTTGTTTGCCATGACCGATAAGCATTATGGATAATACAACGAAAAATTTACTCAGATCCCAGAGTTCCAATCGGCCAGTCAGATCCAGCATTTTTTGTGATCAAGTTGAACTTGCAACATGTAGCGTCAGAAATAAAACACTTACCATTTGTTAGTGCCTTTTGAAGTTCCTCACTTGAAATGCTACCACTATTATCTGTGTCAATCCTGCAAGAAAATTGATTGACAGCCTAGGTTTAGACAATGGAGGTCGGGTTTCAACATGGTACAACAAAGAGTATTGTTATTAGTAGGAACAAACTAAAAACTCGTCCGAAAAGGAGGATGGGAAGACTGTGAAGAATGGATGCACTAAATCCGTGAAACAAATATTAATAATTACTACTAATAGTGTTAATTAAATATTACAACGGAATTAGCATGAATTAATACTATTTTGCACTATTTAACTTAAATTCACGGACGGAAGTGCTTTAATTCTACCAATAGACCTTTTCTGAAATACAAAATCATGGTGCATTGTGGTCTAGCTTCAGTACAAGTAACACCATATTTGGCAGCATGAACAAAAGATGTTTGCACCGAATCTATACCACAATGCAATGCAAACTATTATCTCAGAAAAGACCTATGTTTCGTTCGTTTCACGGATTTTGACGATCTCGGCTGTAATGATCATAGTGAGTGATATCATCCTCTATATACCTATAGGAAGTCCATTAAGGCATATACGTTTTCTGCCAGCATATTGAATGGTGTTCCAGATAAATTGKTACAACTCTAATATACGTCCCAATAAGCCACCTTAGCAACCATTAGCAARTCAGCCTGCTTATCCATAGTCAGGCGTTCCAAGCCGCTCCGAGGGAGCTTGGGCCTATTGTTTATTGTCTATTTGTGTTGTTTGTTTTGACGGAATGCCATTCTAAGTTTGACGAAATAACACCGATATTCTAYYWGCTTGCACTCTCATTYCACAACCYCTCGCCKCTGCATCATCTKTACACTCAACTTCCGCTTTTATAAAATGTCCGCAAACTAATACGTTTTAGCACTTGTTAGCGTTTATCAAAGTTTCAAAGAAGAAAAGTAAAACATTCAAATCTTATGTTCTTAAACCAACAGTTGTACAAAAAGTCATTGAGTTAATGCAAAGTTGTGAAACGACTATAAATTGAACGTTTCACTGACTTTTAGCGCTTAAAGGCGCAGTTCAAAMCAATGAAATATTTCTCACTTGTATCACTTGTCTCTACAATGGTATTTAACTAATAGATGTTCAATTTAATTTAAAAGGCACTTCGACTAAACTTTGATAACTGTAAATGAAAGTTTATGATTAACTGTCCAGTTCAACCTTAATATTTTGACTATTGCTTACTGAGTTCCTGTGTCAAACGACGACAAGAATTCTTCTTTAATTATCTCATCTCTAGGTCATTTATGTTCTACAGGTAAAAAGCCTATGTTATTACCTTTTGAACAATTCTTTCAGCCAGTTTTTGTCAACGGAATCTTTGGCACTTTCCATYGACGCCGCCATTTTTCTCTTGATATCTTGGATTCTTGCGTTTTAATTGAAGCGTTGCGTTGCTCTGAATGAATTTTGATCATCAGTTTATTACCCAATGAGGCATAGAGAATGAAGCCACGAATGAGTGGTTTCTACACGTAGCAAGTACTTTTACTATGTGGTTATAGATAATACTTATTAAAATTATATTTTATTAGTGATATATTTAAAAAAATGAAAATGATTCGCTTATTGACGTCAGATTTGAAAACGATTCGAATAAAATGAGTCAGTGCCAAGTAAGAAACGTTAAATTTCCCTAAACATATGAATGGTTTAATAAATGATTTAATTAATCATTTTGTGAATAAATTAATCTGAAATTAAAATAGAAGAATGAATGGAATGGCGCGCCCGCACGACTCATTCCTAGTCCTACTCGTGATACTCTTACGAAGCAAGAAATCAAAATGGCGTACCAACAACCATATGGACAACCAGGTTACGAYCAAAATTATCTCTGGAATATCTTTCAAAGGTAAGAAATAATTTTGACCAATGGTTAAATTAAGGTTTTATTTATATTGTGTWCTTGTTTTTTAGAGTTGATAAAGACAGAAGCGGCGCGATTTCATCTGAAGAGCTCCAACAAGCATTATCGAATGGTGAGTTATAAAACCCTTGATCTTTACTCTATTTGAACAATTCGTTATTATAAGTAATGCTTTCAATGTTACCCTTGAATGATCACCGGAAATTTGAACATTTCCTSACTATTTAGTTGAGAAAATATATAAGCTTAACTTAAGCTATAAACCTTCACTAGCTATAAGTTGTTAAGCTTAAGCTTAAGTTAAATTCCAAGAAGTCTTATTCAAAACGTAAGCTTACATTTTACAATAATTCAGCATTGAAGTTTGGTAGATTATGATATAATTTGAATCCTAACATTTAAACAAGAATGTTTTTGTTAGTTTGGTTTGTACTAAATGAATTATATGTACAATCTGTTGGGATCTTACTATTTGGATCGTCATTCCTTGCATTGCATCATAAGCTGGAATATAAGTGTCTTAACTTACTAGTAACTACGTTTGATTAACATTATTATATAGCAAACAAATGTCAACTTAATAGATAGCTATGAAGAACAGTAGCAAAATAGCGATTTATGCTGATCAACGCTAATTAGTAGTGTTTACCACTCTTCACCTATAAATTTTTCACATTTTGAAAAGTCAGCATTTGTCATACACGTCATAATGATGTTCACAAATATACAACATGTAATTTCTTATGTCTTTCAATTACAATTTTATTTAATAACATTTCTCTTGGTGCTTTCTCGAATGTTAAACATCAACATTATGCAAGGGAAGACATAAGTCTCGTGATAATGCCATTGTTCCGAAGTGTTCAGAGCATATACTCAATGGGCATGCTGTGACCATGTTTTTTTGGCACAGGTTTACAATTACTTGTATTCTTCATTTAGGAACATGGACTCCATTCAACCCAGAGACTGTTCGTCTGATGATAGGTAAGTACGTTATAGAAATAGAAAACTGTTAGCTAAATATTTCCAAGTTGTATTCATCATCATCATAAGTCTTTTCCCAGTGGTAAAGTGCAATCATTTAAAAAAATGTAATTAATTAGTGCTAATTGTACTAAATTCCTTAGTTTTCTATTGTCTAATCTGGCACTATTTAGCACTATTTTGATAGTATTTAATTTTCATGTTTGAGTGTCTGCACTGTTCTTATTGATTAAGTAACAATGCGCATAAGAACTGTAGAACTCTCTATTGTTCTGCGGCATTCCAACTTCCCCACATACAAATGTCTTGGTTTTCACAGTGATTATATATCAACCTATGGGTAACGCATTTTTGAAATAAAATGTGGATAAACTCACTTTTGAAACAAAGTTTCTTTTGTATTAAAACCTCTTATCCAATCATAAGCACACAAAACAATAGCCAAAAGAAGCTTCTAATTTGCTATGTTCCCCACATAAAATTGCCTTAATATTGTAGCTAAAGAAAGCTTTCATGAAGTCGGAATCAGATATTAAATAAAATATTAGAAAATGCGCTAACTTGTAAAATTATAGCAGATTTTCTTGTTTGAACCAATGGGATGGATGGATTATACAATACACAATTAGCACCTTCTTGCATTCCTTTGCCGTTTGCTTCTATAGTTCTTACTTGGGCCATTACTTAAAACTCAAAACTGCTTTAAAGACCCCTCCCTAATAACTGAATTGAAGGATGGAGTCCTGTATGGATTGTGAATTTTTGATGAGCAGAGAAAAAGAAAGGGGAAAAAAGAACAAACATCAATGGTTATTTTTTCATTTGCTAAGCTACCAACACAGTAAATAGCCAGTTACTTGAAGTGCATAACATATGATTGGATTTCAGGTATGTTTGACAGAGATAACAATGGAACCATCAACTTCCAAGAGTTCTCAAGCCTGTGGAAGTACATCACTGATTGGCAGACAACATTTCGCAGCTATGACAGAGATAAYTCTGGAAGTATTGACAAAAATGAATTAAATACAGGTACTGTAACTAGCATACAATCATGATTCTCCCAAATGTTTTGCTATCTTGATCCACGTTATAGTGTTAAATATTTGCGATAGAACACCTATTCTTCTCCTTAACTCTCTCTGACAATACAACCCGTTTGAGACAAAGTATTTGATTTGATTGGTTCAAAAATTCCCATTTGCAATCAGAGTATACATTATATTTCAATGTCTGAACCAGATTTGAGGACTTTTGGTATCTAACTATGAGGACCTTGTTACTTGTAAAATATTTCCTTATTCAAATGTATAATTTTGMATTAGCTTGATAACTATTCTCCTATTTTCTTTTTCCTCAGCTTTAACAAGCTTTGGTAAGTTTTTCTTTCTTGTATCTGTCTTGTCTTTTTTAAATCTTCATCATCATTTCATAATAATTCCTATTATAAACTACTTCAACCCTTCCTTATCTGTGTTTTCATTTTTTATTGTGACTGTTTCAATGCTTAAAAAAAATTCATGTAGAAACACCCTCTACAGTTGTATTTCTTACTTAAACAATTAATTAATTAAATAAATAATTAATTAATTAATTATTGGCAGGCTACAGATTGTCAGCTAGATTCTATGATATTCTAGTCAAGAAGTTTGACAGGTCTGGAAGGGGCGTCATCAACTTTGATGATTTCATCCAGTGCTGTGTTGTGATTCAGGTAGAATTTTATCTTGTGTTTTTTATATAGCATTTAATATATTTGTGCACTTTTTGTGGCTTCAAATATGGCTTATTCATGCACTGAAATGAATTATCATGATTTACAATACTTTGTGTCTGTGAATGTTCAGCAGAGTTAACAAGGTGGCTTGTTTAAAGTGTTTCACAGACTGCTCAAAAAAGYCCAAATTCTATCTAGGTTTTGCACCATTGGCTTGCTCTATACAACCCATTGAAAGAATGAATTACTGTTGTTTCTTTCAGATGTTGACAAAAGCTTTTCAAGGCTATGACACCAACCGTAATGGCTGGATTACGATAGGATATGAACAATTCCTTTCACTAGTATTCAGCATTAAAACTTAGTTCTTGACAACTTACAATATATTCAAATTAGATGTTATCATAATTAAGCTAGAGTGGTTTCCATAGACCCATGAAACAAAGTGCAATAGTCAAAAWGAGATAATTGAACAGTAGATGGAGGGCATTGTGCTGTGATAGTTAGCCTTGAAAGTCCAAAAAATAAATAGTCAACAAAGAACGCAGTTTTGAGGAACATCAATTTTCGGCTAGCAACTATCACAGCAAGATGATTGAGATTTAAACTGCTCTTTTGCATTTATGGTTCAACAATAAAATTTTCTGAAGTGAAGGGCTCTCGGCACTCACAGTACACTAAAAAGGCAAGAAAAAAAGCATACACAATAAAAAGTAAAACAGAGTATTATGCTAACTTGAACTTCACAAGTTTATGGAAACCACTCCTATACTGCAATCTACCTTGCTCCTTACAGCAAAGTGTGTAACACAAKTACCACAAAACTGACAAATTATGCTAAATACATTGATAATGGTCTACCAGTAATTGCAACTGCATAGTGTAAATGGTAAATAGTGCAAAAAGAAGCATACTTGTTTTCTGTTTGAATTCACATTAAATTTCATAACTGCCAAATCTCCATGGTAATCCAGAAGTTTCCAGATTTTGGTCATCATCTCATGGTTTTCTGGATAAAGAACCATAATTTATTTCCAGATGTTTGTTGAAGTTGAAATCCATCATCCATTAAAGTTAAAACACTTTCAAATCAAGGGAGATCCCATAGTTTATATCTCTACTCAGTCTGTTCACCATAGGAAACCCAACTAGTAAACCATCATTATGCAAATTAGTATATTTGGGGTTTTGCAGCTCTGATATGTAAAACTTCATTATTTGAACAAATATGCATAATTATGATTATCAATTGTGTACTACTTCGTGTCAAGATTAGGAATTGTCAAATACTTAAAGTAAACATGTCTTTAATTTATATTAAAATTTATGAAAACATTTTTTTTTGATTATTTTTGTCCCAAAAGGGCCAGAAATTTCCTGGAGTGGGGGTCGTTGGTGATATCGAGAAAGCCTGTAGCAGTATTGAAAAAAAAAAGGAAATGGGAGAAGAAAATTGAAAAAGAAATTAGAAAAAGAGAAAATAAGAATTCAAAGAAGAGTTCAAAAGAAAGAGAAAAAAAAAGAACAGAAAATTAATAAAAGAAAGAAAGGGAGACAAACAGTACTCTTTATTGGGCTTCCTGTGTAGGTGAAGGTCACGTGCCACGTACGTTTACACAAACACTTGTTCGATCATGAAGTTACGTAACGTAACATAATTTTGTGCGAGTCGGTTTCCATTTCGTGCTGTAAATTTGACATTCTGCCGCTATGCATGAAGTGCTGGATAACCGCTACCTCGCTATATGTGCTATAGTGACCGTAGCAATGCAGACTTCATTTTTTATCATCGCGTGTACCTGCAAGTTTGACAAAGTGACCGATTTTGCTGGTGGMACGAACTTTGTGTTACTTGCCATTTTGACGTTCTTCTTGGCTGAGGTATGGTGTTATATTTTATTGCTTTGTACTTATGCAAAGGAAAAAGGCCAGATTTACTTGAATTTTAATCGGCATCGAAGTAATTGAACTTCTATCAAGCTCAAGGAACGGCATTATTTTAAGATTTGCTAAGTCAGATTTAGATCCTCGCTCTAACTCTGGCTAAGAAGAGTTCATTGCAGCTTCGTGATAAAAGGCGTGGCTGTGGTATTATCTTCGTGTTTTTATACACACTATCTTTGACTCTGCATTGCATCATTTGGAAAGATTGTATCAGAATGGACAACAATTTTGTTTTGAACATTACTAGTATTATGTCCTGGGGTAAGATTGATGGTTACTCCCTAGAGAGCTCCTATGATAAAATCATGATGAATATAATCAATCAAGAAGTCATTGACCTCACTTAAAAAAAGATGTATCCTATGTTAACTGGTTATTCTCACTTACACTTGAGAAGTGTATAATTTCTGAAAATATCCTTTATCTCATCCTATATTTTTAACCTATTTTTAATTGTTAAGATCGGTATTCATTCATTACTTATTTTGTTCTCTCATTTTGATTGACAGACATATCATGCTCGTCAAATAATGGTGACAGTTTGCGTTATTGTATGGGGCTTAAGACTCTCTGGATATCTCCTTTACCGMATCATTAAAATTGGTGAAGACAAGCGCTTTGATGACAAAAGAGAGAACTGCCTTGCTTTTGCTGGTTTCTGGGTATTTCAAGCTGTTTGGGTGTTTACTGTCAGTCTACCAGTTATTATGATAAATGCCCCATTATCGAAGAATAAMGWAGACTTGGGTGYACTGGACTATGTTGGAGTTGGGATTTTTGCATTTGGACTGATTTTAGAAGCAGTATCAGATCAATTGAAGTTTAGTTTCAGGAATAATCCTGTAAGTATGAAAATATAGCAAGAAAAGCTTCTTTACTCCGTGCTGTCACAAAATCTGACAATTTACATCACAACATGACAGCAAAAAGTCATAAAGCATTTATTTTCTCTGGATTCATTTAAGAAAAGAAAAGTGCATTGTGACTTTGCAATCTCAGAGAGCGTATTATAAAAATGATAATAAATAGAAGTAGTCTAAAAGATCTTCGAAAATAAATGATGATGAATTTTTTTCACTAGAAGGAAGAAACAAGCTGAAAAATAAAAACTTTGTAGTCATTGTGTACTGATACACTCTACATTGGTTTTAAAAATCCACTAGGAATATGTACACCAGTATACAGATAAACAACATTGCTAAGACTGGATTAATCAGCTATAAGCCCTTTCCATCTCTCCCCTCCTAGTACTACCCTACTCCAAGGTGTAAAAATCAACAAAATCCAAGCACATTTTGAAATGATACTGTAATGGTAATATTTTGATTTCTTTCAAACAGGCCAACAAAGGCAAGTGGTGTGAAGTTGGTCCATGGAAATGGTCTCGTCATCCAAACTACTTTGGTGAGATGCTGGTATGGTGGGGTATCTTCATCATCAGCTGCAGTATTTTAAGTGGGGGAGAGTGGGCTTCTGTGTTGAGCCCTCTCTTTCTAATGGCCATCTTATTGTTCCTTAGTGGTATTCCTCTTCTTGAAGCAAAGGCAGATGAAAGATATGGCAGGTAGGTTAATCACATTAAAGACTAAATGCAGACTGTATATTAATTAAAAGCGAAGTCTGTGTTCTATAAGTCTGGATAATTACGTTTGCTAAGGTGGTAATCATAGCAACGGATGATTGTTTCTGTCAATCAAAGTAAATTTGATCCCCGTCAATCCTAGAGCACTCCTAAAGTGCTCTCTAGAGGTCCTGGCAATCCTAGCAACAACAACATTGCATAGAAACACTATCAAGCAAACCCACAAATCTATTATGGTCACTGAAATGTGACGTGACAAAATAGGCCATTCCAATTTCTCTAGATCATTAATTATGTATTAAGCTTTAATATGAAACAACAAATGAATGAAGTCACTGATAAATAGATTTATTTATGTATTATTTTTACCCTAATTTCCAGTCTACCAGTATATCGTGAGTACAAGAATCGCACCAGCCCCCTTATACTATTGCCGCCKCCTCTCTACGCTGCCCTCAACAATGTCATTAAAGCCATCTTTTGCTGTGAGTTTCCTTTCTACAATAAAATGAAAGATGAACCTGGCGAGTCTTCRTACATCAAACAAAACCAGACAGCTGAAGGGGCTGAGAATGCATAGGATTTCAATGTGCAAAAAAATCTATAACTTTTGTGTTTTCTCTTTGGGTTCCCTGTGGAAAGAGGACTGGACACCGAAGGGAAGAGAAAAATCTGCACCTTTTTTCCTTTTCCTCCTTCCCCCCACAATCATCTTTTGTCACAACACAGGAATCCCAAATGCAAGGAAAAGCAAAAAAATCAGGTTGTCTGCAGAGAAGGCTAAAAATAGTACAAAGTTGTAAGTTTCTGAAAAATGTGAATCAAATGTACCATTTCTAGGTACTATATATATTGTATATCATTAGGATGCGCACCAATCAGACGATTTCTGTCTTCAACATTTGTAACATTCAATTTGATGTAATTATAATAAGGTAAAGTAAAAGATGTAAGATGTTAATTAAAGATCAGATAATGAATAGTAAGAGTAGGAATATTTTAATCTCTGAATATAGATTGAAGTGTGGATTAAACAAYTGACGTTTCTTAAAATTCCAGGACAGTCGGGAATAGTCTCGTTCCTTGGATAGAAAACAATAAAATAAACAATCAATTTATGTATTGATTTGATGGCTAACAGAAGCTGAATGTACTGAGATTTGAGAATAGTCAATAGAAAACAAAAGAATTAACATTGGTTGGTAGTATTTTRTAATCTTTTACTTTTTTTATTTAGAAAAGAGGGGAAATTTTTTCTCTCTTTCTGCTCTTTAAAATATAACACACAAAAAAAAAACACAACAACAACAAAAACACAAAAAAAGAGACTGATGTTACAGGGAACTACAAATAAAATGACTGCCACTTTTGCTTCCTTTGCAATAGAAGAAATAGTAATACTTCATGTGACGCAAGCCTTCATTATTCATGTGCCAACCACATGATTTCTTTATGGCTGGATTAATAGAGTGTTTTTAACATCTTCTCTTCTATGCAATATTTCAACATGCTTATTAAGTTAGTAGTTTCCTATACAAAACCTCCTTACAAAGCCCCCCTTACAAAGCCCCCCTTACAAAAGGGTTAACTAGGCTGAAAAGACAATAAAACATTATCTCTAATGCCTGCTTTCTCATTGGCTGAAGTCTTGGCTATCCACAATTCCTTGCAGTAGTACAATTATTTTCTTTTGTCTTGTTTACAACAACTTTATGGAATTAGCTGTATGCATGTTGTGTATTCTATATACTAAGTCAGGTCTATAATGTAAATCCACCACCACTATATTCAAGTCTCTGAAATAAAGAGATGAAAATAAAATTTGAAATCTGTCCTGTATTTGATATCAGAGAGTTACAATATATTCACAACTTTCAAAAATGGTGCAATATGTCACGGTTGCCGACCAGGCACTAAGGAATGTCTCAAAGCACTCTGTTCCAGTATCTTCTCYGTGCCTTTTTTTCTGTATCTTATAACGATGAAACAGCTTTGCCACATAAAAACAAAACCCAACAAGAAAGGCACAGAGAAGCCTCTGGAACCAGGTAAAACAGGTAACCTTTATGTTAAGTATCCAACATATCAACACCAGCATTGTACTCACCGTTTTACGTTCCATGAATTCAAGCCAGTCAGAAGTGGCAGTAGGTAACAGCCCCATRGACTGACACTTGTACAGTGCCAAAAACACCAGTGCAATATTACCAAGGAGATAAATAACCTTTTGTAGGAAAGCTGTGTCATGGTCTCCTTCGAGGGCTTTATATGCTGAATGAAGAAAAACAATCATTTGTAACTGTGATTTGTAGTAAAAGAACAAAAGCCTACACATGGTCTATTTTTCCTATTTTTGTGTAATGTTAAGAAATTGGAGCAGCTGCATGTACGTCCTCTGATATAAGCACAGTGAGAGATGGAGACCACAAGAGGAACATGGGCAAAGGGAGTGTTTTTCTTGCTTCTTGAGTACCCTCAAACCCTCATACATTTATACAGGAGAACAAGGGCGCAAGCCCTTGCTGGTGAGTTTACTGCAAAGTTTTGTACATTTTATGATGTCAAGATTGTGTCAATAGACCACTACAACTTTAACGTCAGGTGCACCCTGTACATATATGCAATGCATTGTAGGATATGTTTGGGACAACCATAGTAAACTGATCACACAATGCATGGAAAATAAGTAGTGGTGTAAAAGGTTTAGGAGTCTATAAGAGGACATGCAACCCCAAATCTTGCACAATTTGTTAAATTGATAACATTAATAAATCTACTTACTTGATTTAATAGCTAGCAAGGCTTTGACAGGACGTAAGAACATCATACCRACCATCATAATAGGAAATATAGATATAGAATTACCAGCCATGTACATGATAAACAGGTTCATTGGGATTTGTTTGAATGGTCCAAGYGCTATGTCCCATGTTTTCTAAAAATAAAMCACACAATGGTACTTAAATGGGATTGATGAAAAGAGGTGAAAAAGGRATGCTGATGAAAAGGAATTGGCAAATGGTTAAAGTTTCATGAAACGTGGACAAAACATTAAATTTGTACATTAGAAATCTTTGAGTTGATTCTAATTGAACTTAGTGCATAAGATTTGTTTGATTCAATAATCTTTGTCATGTTTCCCTCCAACAGATCAAAGATGATATCTCTTTGTATGTGCCATCTTGAACAATAGGCATGTCTTTCAAATCTACAGAACATTATTCATATATACATGTATCTATAGTTATAAAAGCAAATGTCGTTTTACTTCAATGCAAAAGCACAGCTACCTTTAAAGATGACACAGATTGGACAGTAAATGAGACTATTGAGATTGATATATCAATAGTCTCCTTCACGGTTACCATCACCATTTTGAAAGGTAGCCGTGCCTTTGCATCAAAGCGAGACAGCCGTTGAGCATGCAATGATAGAAACCTGTTAATAAATGTCTGTAGGTGTGAAAGAAGGTTTCTATCATTGCACGGCTACCTTTCAAGATGGCGCAGGTAACCGTGAAGGAGACTATTGATTTAAAGTAACTGAGTTTGAAATGAATTGCAATTTGGACTTGATCTTTTCCCTTGTCTTATCACTCTTTGTTTATAACATGTTGCACAGCCGCTGGCTTTTGTTACTGCATGCTCACAGAAACAATTTACATGTAGATCTACATCGGGAAAAAAAATAAACTATGGAATGGACGTTGAATTTGATCTAAGGTGACTTCAACTTTTGACGAAATCAATAATGAATTATAGTTGACTAACTTTGGCCACTAGATGTGTGCTGTTTAAGTCTCTTGGTTCCTGAAAAACGAGAAAAAAATTAAGAATACATAAAAATTATAAAAAGAAAAAGATATTCAAGGATTTTTATCAATATGATCCAAGATTTAAGCTTACTTACATGTTGAACACGGTGTTCCGTGTAGCCCAGAGGAGCTGGAAGATCAGACGAGCTTTGAAACTGGCGTTCAAGTAGGTATTTAGGCCTGATCATAACAAAAATAATCCTCTTTAATAAAGTAGGTACATTTAAATGGATATTGCCATTAATTTTTTAATGTAAAGTACCTTCCAACGAGGTCTATAGCCCATTTATTCGCCGACTTCTTCGTCAGTGACCTGGCGGCCATTTTGTTTTTCCTGTAACTCGCACAGAGCCTGGTTACTAGTTACCAGTCTTGGTGAGATTACATAACAAGGTTGTGGGTTCCCTGTGTACGAACCAAAACACTCCATTTTGCTTTTACGTAATCTTACTATTTTTACATTTTGGGATTTGAAAACCTCATACTTTTGTAACTGTGAATAAATAATAACGTGTTTTATAAGAGACAAGCTTTCTTGTTGTCTAAGGCCATCTTGTGGATCCCATCTGATCTTGTTGGCCATGGGGAGCAGAAACACAAGATCTTCGCAAAACAACAATCCAAATGATCAAGAGGAACAAGAGGCAGAAAACCATGACGGCAGACCTGAGGACGATGTTGACTTAGTGAGAGTTTTATCACACTTATTACGCGGGTGAGTTATTTGTTCTRACTAATTGATAAAACGCAAATAATTGATAAACATTAAGTAATTTGTTGCTCAATTTGCACCTCGAAATTTGATTTGCTTATTGAAGTAATTAACAGAATGATTGTTTACTAAAAGGTGTGCAAATTGCTTGTGAACTCCTTGTGAACTCATTATCCACAAGAGAAAAGTAATAAAAGGGAACTTAGTGGTACATAATATTCTTTGATAGATGATGTAAATACTAGACTAGTAGTTCAAAACCAACAACTGCTTATGGAACAGGTTAATTTCCTCCTGGTCAAACAGGTTTTTAAATGCACGGAACAGGAAGAGAAAATATCAGTTTTTACTACATTGTGTGCATTCTTTAATACGCACTGATTGTCTAATTAGAGCGTGTCAATAAGAGGACATTTACACTAGCTGTGTTGACACTACCAAGTCTCACGCGCACACTCAATTGACAGAAAAGAATGATTTTCACTGCGCTTGTCTGTCCACTTGATTTTTGAACATTTTATGACGTCAAGAGTGTGTCAATAATAGGACATACAACTCAAACAGTGCGCAATTTGATAAATATGTCAGTTTATTGGTAATAATAGGATGCTCAAATGAAACCGTTGCAAAATTTCTCCTTCACAAACTTCAGTCTTTGTACTACATGTTTATAAATTTATTTATAAGGAGTTTGGGATTTATTACTGTGCATAACAAGAAAGGTGCTAAAAACTTACTGCATGTACTTAAAATATGTTTTACATGAAATCAAGAAAGTTCTACATGTATTCTAAGAAATAATACTAAAAAAAGGAAGCCCAACACGAAAATGGATGCAAAGGAGACTATCTAAGGCCCTGTTTACATGTGATAGGGTGGTCGATATAGTTAAGCCAAAATATAACAGGGAAAAGAAATCAAAGAGCAGGTGTGAATGAGAGCAGTACAATGACAAGTATGATTTCTGCAAAGGGTTTTTTTCCTCTCTCTTTTCGTTTTTAACCCTCTGCTAACAACAGGGCATAAGAATTATTTTTTTTGCTAAAAATTTGAACCTGTACAAATAAATGAGGGAGCAAGGATGGCCGAGCGGTTAAAACGACGGTCTATCACTGCTGTGGTCCTGGTTTGATTCCCTGTCCGGGACTATATGTGATTTGAGTTTGTAGGTTAGTTCTCTTCCTTGCTCTTTGGGTTTTTCTCCAGGTCCGCTGGTTTTCCTCCCTCAGTCAAAAACTAGCTGTGAGGAGTGTCGTGTAGAAAAATAATGAATGTTGAGGTAGTGAGTATGATAATAGAGGGCCACAAGTTTATTAGTCTAGAGACTATTATGTGCTACCNGTTTGTTTTGTAAATTCACATTTTTTCTCATTTTTCAGTGGACTGCAAGTCCAGTTCATAAGAGCTACCCAATCCCATGGTGGAGGGATTCATATTATTCAAGGAGTTCCCAGGGATGATGACGATGATGATGATGATGATGATGATGAAGATCTGTTTTATCATGGCATGAAACAACGCCACACCTCGCAACCAGGTTAGATATGTCAATTTACCTCAAAGCTAAATAAATAAGCTACTATGCATAATTCTGGTAAAAAAAACTATCCTGTGAGAGAAAACTAAAAACAACACAACAACAACAAAGAAAAATATTATTTGAATTTGATAAATTATGCTCAATAATTGCAAGCATACTTATATTACAGAACTCTGTATTTTTTGTTATCTTTACAGTGGATTATGTTCTGGATACTAAAAATCTTGAGGTAATTATCAGAAATCTTTGACACAGTAATAGCAGCAGCAGCAACAACAATAGTAACAACAACAATAACAATAAAAACAGCATCAATAGGGACAGCATCAATAGCAACAACAACAATAATAATAGCAGCAACAACAATAGTAACAACAACAGCAACAACAACAATAACAAAAACAGCTGCAGCAGCCGCAACAACAACAACAATTTAGTGGCAACAACAACAATAGCAGCAACAGCAGCAGCAGCAACAATAACAATAGCGACAGCATGAATAGTGACAGCATAAATAGCAACAACAACAACAGTAGCAGCATCAACAACAACAACAACAGGAACAGCATCAATAGCAACAACATTAATAGCAACAACACCAATAGCAACAACAACAACAACAATCACAATAGCAGCAGCAACAATAACAACAAGAACAGCAGCAAGCAAATAGAAGCTACAACAGCAGCAATAACAAGAATGACAATGATTTCAGTATAGCAGTAACAACAACTGCAATGACAATAACAACGATAACAATGACGAGATGACAATCACAATAGTAGCAGTAACAACAACAGTAGTGATGACAACAGCAACAACAATGTATCTACCTTTTCAAAATTTTGTGTTTGTTTTATAGAATAGTGACCTAAAGAAGCAAGTCATGTTATCAAGTGGTCAAATGCTTTCCAAAACAAAAAACATCACAGCACAACTTAAACAGGTAAATATCTCTGTGTGCCTCACAGTATTGTTTGTTTGTTTGTAGGGAAAATGTTGCAATATTACAATTTGTAGTATTATTAGAATGGCAGGCTTTAGTGGTAAGTTTTAAAAAGTGCTTTCCAATGCACTATCATTTGGTGTTAGAAAGTAAGGCACAGTTTGTTACTAATAACTGCTATAAATATAAGATTTTTTATAGTTAAGAAATAATTATGTTAATAACGATCAATGATTTTTTKTAGAGAGAAGTAGGTGGCTTGTCACAACAAAGGTTTTCTGGTGGAGAAAAAGCTTTTGCAAGTTCAAAGTAATAACATTAAACTAATTTGACTATTTTTTATTTATTTTTTTCTTCTCCAATGGTTCTGTTACATATCGTAGTTATCTTCCAAACACCATGGAAACCAAGGCAAGATATCGTCAGAAGGCATTCTGTGGTACTTACTCTCAAGATGGCAAAGTCTTYCTGTCMGCATGTCAAGGTTTGTCCACTTCTTTCACTATTGCTAGTCAAATATGAGACACAAAGACCTTTAAGAAACTTGATTTTATCTTTGAGTGTTGAGAGATTTTCAACACGAGAAGATAAAATGTGTATCTCCAAGTGACCAATTGTAATATTCTGTTTATCATATAATTAGATATGAAAGCAAATTATGTCGTAAAATACTTTTTTTCTTACTTCCACTATATAGAGAAACCTTGAATGTGTTATTTTCACTAGTGAAAATATCAATTTTACGTGATGGAGAAATATAGGCATTTCATAGATAATTATATGATAAAAAATAATATATAATAAATGTTCTTAATGATTTTCTTGTCTTTCTATTCTGCAGATGAGTATATTCGACTGTATGACACCACACATGGGCAGTTCTACAATTTCCGYAGTATAAAAGCACGAGACATTGGTTGGAGTATAATTGACACAGCATACAGGTACACTGAATATTGTCTGTCTGTCTGTTGACCTGTATTGGCTTCTTACACAAGACGATTGAAGCAGTTTTGAATTTTTTTGAATTTTTGAATTTTTAACCTCAACTAATAGTTAGTCTCTTTACTAACGACTCAATGTGTTTTTAACGTAGAGGTTGTAGTGGCTCTGAGGGAAGGGAGGTGTTTTACCACCTCCTCACCCCACCCCTCTCGCAATCTGTTCCAGCCACTCCCCTCTCATATAGATCTGCATTTTTCARATCAAATCAAAATAGCAATCTAGGAGATTCTTCTCTAAGCCATTATTTACTATCTACAGAGACGGATCCAGCAATTTTCAAAAGATAGATAATAAAACGACGACGATCAAATGTGTTTTGAGGGTTATTTTACTTTTAAATGTTTTCTTTTAATATTTTGTTGATGCCATTAACCCTTCCACCTCCCCCTCAAAAAACACCCCAAATGAAAGGTTTTTGGATATAAATTAATAGTAAAGTATGTTTTCAGCCCAGATCAAAATTACCTGATCTACTCCAGCTGGTCTGATTATAGTRAGTAAAAACTATTGAATCAATCATCATTGCATCATGAGTCATCATCACTATAATTGCTGGTATTTGAATCAGTGATTTAACAAAATCAACAGGAACTCCAAGCGCTATTCTTAGTCAAATCTTGGTTTGGGTTCTTAACGTATAGGTCCCTCTGTTGCCAATTTGAATTTTAGAAATGTGAAGCTTTTTCAGGTCTGTTTTAATTATCATCCTTTTTAAGAAGACAAAGCATTTGCTAACTATCAGGATACAGCTTTTTTTATTGCCAAAGTCCCAACTGTCATCAGTGTATTAACTACAGACCATCATGTCTCTCTTTATTATTCTGTCATCTTTGTTTCATTAAAATTGGCCCAATCATAACCAGTCTCTCTTTCCCATACAGTTCACTTATGTAACATATATGGCGATTACAACACACATATTGCCTTGGATCTCAAGTAAGTTGGTCTCGAGCAGTACTTCTACAGTTGGACTTATTTTTTAGAGTATTATTTAATATGCATGATGACTTGACATGGGTATATGTTTAAAAATTGAAAAGTTGTCAGAACGTTCAACAAAACCGAATTTATTCTACAAGAAACATGTTTATTTCAATTGGAAAGATGGGGGGTAGGACTCGTCGGAAATTTTCCAAAAGACCCCCAAAAGATCCCGGAAGTCTTGAAAAAAGGGCGTGGCTGACTGATTTTTAACCCCTAAGAGGTTGAACAACAAATCTTGCTAAATTAAATCACTAAATCAGTTNAGTTCCAATGATAAAGAGGAAAATCAATATCGATGCGCTCTTTCTCTTCTTTTCCGACACCCTAAGAGATTCCAGACAATACAAATTTCCAGAAACTTAAAAGATTCCAAATCACGAATTCTTACCCCTAAGAGATCCGCCAAGCATCACCGGTACTTTTACCCCGGAGCCCCACCCCGGGACTCCGCAATTGGGGATTTGACTGTAGTTTAAAAAAACTTCATCAACTTCAAGTGTATTATTTTCAGGCCAAGAAGTAGAAGATTTTGTGCCTTTTCAATTGAGTTCTCTCAAGACAACAAAGAAATTATAGCAGGGTGAGGACAATGAAACTATCTATTCCCATTTAATAACGTGTCAACCAATGATCAAGTAATTTATTTTGCAGATCCAATGATTCTTGTATCTATATCTATGACCGAGAGAGTGACCAAAGAATTTTACGAGTAAGCTATTGTAGTATTATAATCGTATCATCATCATCGTCATCATTATTACCACAGGCGCCTATCCAGGATTTCATCTTTTGAGGGCCAATATTGAAAAAAAATACTATAAGACGTCATAGCAATCTATTCTTTTAAACGCAAAAGAATGTTTGAATCTCCTCGTGTTAAGTTTTCGGTCACGCAACATCTTTTTCACATGTATTATTTTTCATTGTACGATTTTCATCTCCCTTCAGATTCTAGGTCATGATCAAGATTACGACGTGAATGCGGTAACTTTTGCTGATTCGAGTGCTCAAATATTATTCAGTGGTAGTGATGATGGTCTCTGCAAGGTTTGCATTGCTTTTCATTGTCTTGGCAGCATGAAATTTTCCACGAAATAATTTTATGTTGATTCTATTCCATTCCGTCTTCTTTCTTCTATTTATTTCCATTTTCCATTCTACTTTTCTAAATTTGGTTGCTTTTTTTTTGATTTTCGTTATGTTCATGGTTTCATGCTTTCCCCATACTTTTTCCCCTTACCATCCAATAAGAAAGGTCATTATTTGATCGAACCAAGTTCCGGGTGTACTTTTCATTTAGAGTTGCTGTTTCGATTGTTTTGTAGGTTTGGGATCGGAGGATGCTCAACGAGTCTCATCCGCTTCCTGTTGGTGTTTTTGCTGGCCATTCAGATGGACTCACATTTATTCACTCGAAGGTATTAAGGGCGTATATGTACAAAACACGTGACCCCGTTTACTCAATGCACGCAGATGCATGGAATCATGAACCAGGTCACGTGTCCCATTTCAATTCACTGGCAATGCGTTGCAAAAAGTTTTACTTTGTAAAACATCACGCCAACGAAGCAAAATATCGTGAAACAAATCCTACTGCTCTTACGTTACTCTCCAGTAACGTAACGTAGAAGATTGAACAGTATTACAGCGCCCTAGGCAACCTACATTTGTTGCTTCATGCATAACGTCAGTGATCAATATCATGACGTCTCTTCTGAAAGAATTGATTGTGAGATTAGAAAATGATCGCAAAGGAGTAAATTATATTGTTGTTTTTTTTCCAACGATTAGAATGATAGTCATCACCTCATCACCAATTCAAAGGACCAAACTATCAAACTATGGGATCTGAGAAAGTTTTCGTCYGAAGAAGCAGTACAAGTAAGCCGCTGATGCTACGCATATTTTTTATCGCGGGCGCGTTTAATGTAGTATTTTTTTCCCAGAACACACAGCGAGCTGTAGATTCACAACATTGGGATTACCGGTGGCAAAACGTACCCCGGAAAAGTAAGTTTCCCATAGTCCTTTTCTGAAATACCTTTCCGCATTGCAATGTGGTCCAGATTATTTACAAACATCTTTTGTAGCCAAATATGGTGTTGTTTGTATTGAAGCTAGACCACAATGCATCATGATTTTGTATTCCAAAAATGTCTTTATAATGAATGATAAAACGCGAATGAATGAATAAATTGATGAACACGCGAATAAATAAGTGATTTCTAAAGGCAATAATCAAAGGCATGCAATATGAACAAATAAATATAACCGTTTTTCTTCGTAGTTCTCCGTACTAAGACGTTGCCTGGAGACTCATCAATTATGACGTATCGTGGTCACGTTGTAAGAAACACTTTGATACGGTGTTACTTCTCGCCTGCTCACACAACAGGACAGGTAGGGTTCCCCCTGTGGGGAAAATTTGTCTGCAAATCCAGGTGTTCCTAGTTGCTCCGAGAGAGTTTCTCCGGCCCAAACTCTCTCGGAGCAGCTAGGAACGCCTGGCTCGCAGGCTAAGGATACTGGAAGAGGGCTCCTTCAACCATAGTTAATAAAGGGAATGGTTTGGAAACCTTTTGTTGTACTTCTTTTGTACATCTTTTGTATGTATTTTGAGGTTGAATCAGTCAAGACCGTGCACAACTTTTTTCTTACGGACGATAGAAATTGCAAAATGACTAAACATAAACACCCTCTATGAGATTATAAAATGAAATATTCCAATATTGGTTAGAAATCATTATGCATTTTGAAGAAATAGGCAAAAGAATATTTTTCGCTCTGTTCATTCAGATGTGACCAGTATGGCTAAAACAATCAGTTGAACAAAAGATTGTGCACGGTCACGCTTGGAAAAAAGTGCACAAAAACCTACAACAAAGGGCTTCCTAACCATTTACCTCTACAAACTATGCTTCAACTAACAAAAAATGTTCAAAAAGAGCCACTTTAAGTCATTTATTCTTCATAAAGGAACTAGGCGAAGGAAACTGGTTAGAAAGGTCGACAGAAGGGCCGTGACGGCCTGTTCCAAGGTTCTTTTACTTAAATTTGGGAATGGGTGCTCGCCCAAGGAGGCTTCCTGGACAATAGATCCTATTAGATACTCTTCCTCCTATCGCGAACTAACAGGATACGCGAGTCACGTKATATAAACATCGCATTGCTTTCAAATGGAGCTGTCAGCATTATTTCGATTGCCAGTCCTACTCCTCTATAACTAACTTCTTTTTTGTCATATTTCAGCGGTATATATACACAGGGAGTTCATCTGGTAATGTAGTCAGTAAGTATGCTTTATTAGGACCAATACCTTGAAGAGTGTKGACTGAATACCTTTTTCAAGGRMGCTTGAAAAAGGGCGCTTGAAAAGCCCTTGAAAAACGGAAAAACCATTCCTTCCCTTTGTGGGGCGGGGRAATTGGGACCCGCCCCAAAAAATGGCTRCGAGGAGAATAGAAAAAAAACTTAAAGCTATAAAAAACTCATTGAATTTGATGCAATCTAAAAGTAGTTCTACAAATCAAAGCCCAAACATTGTGAAACATGAAGTACGATCTTAAAAATGGTCCTTGAGATAATTGCCTGAATTTGTGTGCTTACAAAGTACTTGAAAAGAACTGAAATCATATGAAAAAGTGGAAAACTTCAACTTCTTTCCTCATCGCACCACGTTTACCCTAGCCTGTTTACAGCCGGTTTATAGTAAATTAAAACGGCTGAACAGAGGCCGCATTTTAAGTAAAATGTTTACGAAGTTGCTTATATATGATTTTCTTATTTTCAGTTTATGATGTTCTTACCGGCGAAGTCAAAGCCAACTTAACTGGACATATATCCTTTACTGCTAAAAACATGATGGTTGACTTTCTTTTTTTAATGCAACTTTGTTTTCATTTAAAAATTGTAACAACTTAATCGGTCTGAGTGAGAAAGCCAAGTGTTGACGGAGAAATCAGTCTATAAATTAAAGGACCACATGCATCCAAGAATCTTTGCGCGATTTTTTTATGTACAAAAAAATGTTTGGTTTTTAACCAATCAGACAACAACTTTCAACTAGTGATCATTTGTAAAACGTGATCGCAAAGGTTTTTGGGTACGCGTAAGGCTTTAAAGAGCCGCTGCGCGAGTTAGTTATTTCAGTGAAGTCAAAAGGCCTATAAGCTTCATGGTAAAGGCTAATGTCGTCATAAACGTGTGCAGTTAACCTTTATAACATCAGTATTTCTTCATAATATCCGAGACATGCCAACAGTTGGCTTTTTGGTTCAAGTGATACTTGTAGTAAATAGCGGGTCAATTCATTAGGTGTAATAGTCCTTAACATTACGCACAGAGAATGTGTTCGCGACGTATCTTGGCATCCGTATGACAACAAGATCGTTAGCACATCGGTGAGTATTAGAGTGCACGTCACATAAGCATGAAACAATTCTTAATATGTAGTGCTAAATAAGATTTAGTTATCAACTAACTAAGAATTCAACAAAGCATAAACACAATGCCAATTATTTAAATTCCTTTGTAGCATTGTTCTCAATTCTTAGTTAGTTGATAACTAAATCTTATTTAGCACTACATAGTTAAGAACTTATGTGACTTGCACTCTAGTCAGAGCAATGAAAAACTCGACTAATAACCACAAAGAACTAGCTGTGGATTTACCAATCAGATGAAACCCGCCAAACAACTAACTCACTCACCAATCTATCAATCAGCTAAATAACTAATCTTGCAATAAACAAACAAACAAGTCAATAACCAATCTATCAACTCACCAATCTATACAACCAGCTGAACAACTAATCTTGCAACAAACACAACGAAGTCACTCATCAATCTATCAACCAACTAACACAACCAAACACTAACTCACTAACCAATCTATTGATTAAGTAACCAAACTACCATCCAACTCACTATAACCGAACTAACTCATAAACCAACCAATCAACGAACTAACTAATCTATCAACAAACTAACACAACCAAACACTAACTCACTAACCAATCTATTGATAAAGTAACCAAACTACCATCCAACTCACTATAACCGAAATAACTCATAAACCAAGCAATCAACGAACTAACTAATCTATCAATCAAMTAACCAACTAACATTGCACTAAACAGCCAACTAACTCACTCACCAATCTATCGACTAACTAACACACTAAATAACCAACTCACTATATATAACCAAACTAACTCACAAAGAAACCAATCAACGAACTAACTAATCTATCAATCAACTAAACAACTAAGCTTGCACTAAAAGGCCCTACTAAACAGACAACCAACTCACTCACCAATCTATCGACTAACTAACATACTAAACAACCAACTCACTATATAACCAAAATAACTCACAAAGTAACCAATCAAATGATCTAACTAATCCATCGACAAACTAACACAACAAACAACTACACCAAACAATTCACTCACCAATCTATCAATCAAGTAACCAGCTCACAAACCAATCAACAAAGTAACTCACAAACCAACCAAACTATCAACAAAGTAACTCACAAACCAAGCAACCATCCAACCCACCCTAACCAAGCAACCATCCAACCATCCAACCTTCCAACCCAAAAACAACCAAGCAACCTTCAACCAAGGAACCAAGCAGCATACCAACCAATTTTAATTGAAACCAACTTCTAATCAGGCGAACTATTTACAAAACTACGAATCTAACCATCTAATAAACCAACTAAACAACCAACTCACTATAACCGATCTTCAGTCACCGAAGCCACCCCCGACCAATCAACAAACCAACCATTAAAAAACTCGATAACCAATCTTGTAATCAAATATATACCTACTTGCGAAAACGTTGTCATAAAAAATAGGACATTTGTATTTTAGTAAAAAGGAATYAATTAAAAAGACAAAAGAAGATCACTGAGGCTGAACGCTCTCTTTTGTCTTGTTTTAATTTATTCCTTTTTACTAAATTCAAATGTTCTATTTTCTATGACAACGTTTCTGCAAGTAGGTGTACCTATATTTTAAAAACATGTGTTAATACTTATAGTGGGATGGAACCGTCGCCCTTTGGCAGTATAAGAACCGCAACGATTTGGATGATGAATTGGATGCGGAGCCTCCTCGAAAAGTTGCTGAAGACGCTCAAGAGTAATGTCTTCGTTATCGTGTGCCAAGGACCTTAAAAAACAGTGGCCATTATCGAGAAAAACTAGAAGTAAATATACTATGATACCAGAAAATATCGAGTGAACAAGCTACAGCAACATGCAGAAATTATGATCTTCTTTGCTCATATTTCAAGTATATTCAAAATATATCAGAAGTTATGGGGTATCATCGCCATTATTTTTTTTAGAAAGTACCAGTGCCATGCAACTTCAAAAAATGATATTCCATAATTTCTGATATATTTTGTATAAAATAATCTTACGTTCTGCATATTGCTGTATACCAATGTATGTACAAATGTTTTCATGTTTTTTTTAAAAGAGACAAGTTGTGTTCATATGACCTTGAAAAAAWGATTTTGAATCCTTGTGACGTCATGCTGCTTTGCCGAAGTGCATCACGGTATTGATAGAAGTATCAAAATGGCGGATGTTAGTTGTCTTTGTATAACAACTACAAAGGGCGAAATTTCTATGCGAAAGTGATGTTACCAGTTATCGAGGATATTTGGGATGAAAAATTGATAAGATGGTTGCACATAAATTATACTCACAGCTTGGCAAACATCAGTATCTTACTTGGTACTTTTGTCAATCTCATAGTGTCCATATAGTGCATTGCATCGAAGCGGTGTCATAAGAAAGAAGGACCATGTAAAATTATTAACTAGTGCAGTGACTAGTGTCCTTAATTTGAGTGTTTTTGGTGTAGCCTAGTTCGCAGACAAGTCCATTCCACGGGATTCCTGTGTTAAGTCAAAAAAGCTACCAGAGGGGGTGGGGTTAACCGGTTCTTCTCGGTCAAGATAGTCAACACAGGAAGACCAAAACGTTTCCGCTGGAGTGGGTGCGAAGAAGGCTATTTTTGGCCCTTGTTTGTGAATTTTATATCTTCAGATGAACTGCAGGCAGTCCGCTGTAGATACAAATTATATATATATAAGACGAAAAATGCTTTATTCGGCATTCGTTAGTGTTAAAAAATTTGTTTAATGGGACGCAAAACGTAACTCTSTGTTAGAACGAACAATTTTTATTTGATAACTGTATCTGACGATTCTTATTTACTTGTAAGGACAATCTATAAAAAACACCTGTTTTCTGATATCCGAAATGACAAAGCATTGAATGTGACAAAAAGCCAGAAAATATAGAGTTGGTTCATGAACCTGCTGCAGGAATAGCTGCATGGATTATATCTATTATTATGCTAGAATGGAAAATGCCAAAAGAGGAAAAAAGTACTCAAACTTAGCGGGATATTTTTGGTTATGTCATATCTCAAAACTTGCAAATGCAGCAGTTGTCACATCATAAAAATTGGGCAATTCTCATAAATATTTTAACACATACGAAATTATCACAAAAATAGTATAGCTCGTATGGAGAAATGTTTTGTCGATGCCAACATTTATTGATGGGCCATCCAACACGGCTTGCTCATTTTCTCCTATGAGGTTGTTGTAGTTGAGCACCATGTTGGATAGAGTTTTAAGGCATTGTTTGAAGATTCAAAAATGTTGGATAGTGTTGGGTCATCCAACATTTTACATTTGTTCAGTTGATAAAAGCTCACTGAGTTGCTTTAACTTTTAATAGGTTTAAACATGCGTACATTATCTATTATCTGTATATACATATATATTTCACGTGTATTTCAAATTATTAAAAAAAATGTAAATAAGAGTACAATGTTGTTGTTTTGACCGTTGTATATATTTTATGAATTGTTGGCTTGTACATAAGCTTTAAAGTGGGTTACATGGATTCAGTGGCAGGTCGTSAACTGGACGAATTAGATATCTGAAAGTAAAAAGAAAATACGCTAAGTCAGATTTCACACATGACTCTCAGTACTGTAGATATAGTATGTGGCCGTGAGGTAACGGGAAAGTCCCGCATTCCCTACAAGGTTATCCAAGGCACTCAAGGTGAAGCACACCGAGTCATGTGAAATTGCAATGATAAGTTTCACATGACAWTAACAGCGATTCTAGATCATGAAAATATTTACATTGCTAATGAGCAATGCACGTAATTGCAATGATTGCAATTAAGAGCTCCCCAAATAATTACTAGGAAGTATTTGGGATTAGAAGGTGAGGAGCCTTTTTTGCAGCAGAGGGTCATTGAGGTGTCTATCGATAAGGAGCTCCTTGGAAAAGAAAAATAAACATCACTTTAGTATTTTTCTCTTGGTATCAATTTTAATGTTTTAAATTTGTAACAAAAATTAACGATAGCACATTTAATGATTTAAAGAAAAAGAAAAACGAAGCTTCGACGTCGGTATAGTTTATGAGCTTGCTCGTCACATAACCCGGCTGTACGCACCATTTACATTGTCTCTTCACTCTTCCATTACTTATAACTTGGTTCAATGGTCCTAGTATTCCTCCTCGTATTGTTTGTATACAACGGTACACGACTGATATGGACCAGGATCAAATCTGTTTTAAATCGTGTTTGCGCACCCAGTGTAGCCTATGACTATTGAGTAGAACAGCAAGACGGATCTCAGCATTCAAATCGGTAAGCACAGAAAGCATTCAATCACTAACATAGTCAAATAAGTAAAATTGACGTGATTCATGTACAAATGCAGAAACGTTCAGCTAATTAAACAGCTCAAAGATTTAAGCTGCAAAATCTTGTAGTTTCTTGTCGCGTTTTATCCTAGTTTTCAGACGCTGACTGTTTCGCACGCACTTCAAAGATTTCCTCTATCTTCCCCGACGCTGACCCAATGGCGACTTTTATTAGCTAAATTCCTATCTATTGCTGCATTTACTCAGGCAGTTCACTTTTTCTTTTACTAAGTAGCTCTTTTCTTTTTTTTATGTGTGTGCATATTTTAGGGGAAGTATTGTTTTCTACTTGAAGTGCACATGCGGATTTCGAAGGAATGGATCGCAAAACGAGAGAACGAATACAAACTAGCTAGCAAGTATCTCCGAAATGACATCAAAAAGATAACGGCATTTTAATAGAAATAAAATACACTTGTTCGCAATCTCATGCCGAGGCAACAACATCACGAGGAAGGCTTAACGAGAATAAAGTACAATCTGATCGTACGATATCGCACACCCCGCAATATTGACAGCATAGGTATCTGTTTACATAGTGTGGTAGTAATTTTACTATCCTTACAGGCAACATGGCTTCAACGACCGTAGTAGGGCTTTTATTAAACAATTATTTTGAAATCTCTCTCTCTCTCAGCTGTAGCCATATTGGAGTCAAGACACTTGGGCTGTTTTCGCATGCGATGATTGTATATAGGGCATCTAAGGATGCTTTCCATTTAGGCAGAACTGGCCAGCCAGTCCGCTCTATTTAGAGGTACTCACTATATAATGCCTTTTGTCAACATTTTTCCAGTCATTTCAAGATTTTCTATTGAATAATGGATAGAATTTGAAAATTTGAATTTCCTGATATATAATGACATTTTCTCTGGGTCTGGCCAGCCAGTTCTGACAAATAGAAAGCACCCTAATTCGGCCCTGTCCGCCGACCGAGATATTTCAAATAAAGCCAGGGAAATGTGCGTGCCCTGTTAGAGAATGCAAGCGGTACATAGGCTATAGTCACCAGAACAATCCTAGGAAATAAACTCTAGAAATAAATCTCTTGTAAATGTACATATTCTCGGTGATAGTCAATGTGCGTGCCTAAAAGGTCCGCAAGGTATTGTGGGTATTCAAAAATTATAACCATTCAAAAACTCTCTTTTTTCGATTGCGGGATGCTTTCCCCACAATCTGTACATTCCCTTGTAAATTTGAACAATTTTGAACAGCTTCAACTTCTTAGATATCCATCTGGACCAAACCAAACTTGGGGATAGTAGTATCAATAGCCTGTGAGTATCAGGCTCTCTACAAGGGGATTGGGGTTTGGTTTCTTTCCGCTCCAATCCCCTTCGAGTTCGAGAGAGCCTGATACTCATCAGGCTATCAAGAGTTTTCTCTTGGGCTATATTATCAATTTTGATGTGCTCTTCAAGTTGATAAACACCAACTTGCGAAAACGTTGTCATAAAAAATAGGACATTTGTATTTTTGATACGCCTACTTGCAGAAACGTTGTCATAGAAAATAGAACATTCGAATTTAGTAAAAAGGAATCAATTAAAACAAAACAAAAGAAAGCGCTCAGCCTCAGTGACCTTCTTTTGTCTTTATAATTTATTCCTTTTTACTAAAATACAAATGTCCTATTTTTTTATGACAACGTTTTCGCAAGTAGGTGTATATAGTAAACATAGCACGTGAATAGAGCGGATTTCGTATGAGTGGGAAACGGACTGTACTGTACTGTGACCGTAATCGTACTGTAACCAAATTCTAGTGCCCCATTGGTTCACCAAAATTGTGCAGGCCAGGTGCGGTAACTGTGCGGTAACCRTGCGGTAAYGGTGTCCCACTCATACGAAATCCGCTCTATGTTAGTATAAAGTTACAAAGACAAAGAGAGAGCTAAGTGTTTAACTTGTTGGTTTAGCGATGGTCGTAGCCATTTGATATCCATCGACATGTTTCGGCGTTACTTACGCCATCATCATTTACTTACGCCATCATCATTTACTAAATTCAAATGTTCTATTTTCTATGACAACGTTTCTGCAATTAGGTGTAGGTAACTTGGCGATTTTCTCGAACCAGCCTCCTGCTCGGACATGAAAGCTGACAGCTCCACGCGCGCCGTGACATCGCTGTGACTAGTTTCCGGAAAAGATCTCGAAAACACGTGTTGTTCCATTGAAAGAATATAAAATGGAGTCATTTCTCGAGGAACTCAAACTTCAAGTCCAGTGTTCTCTGTGCAAAGAGACAATGTTTGAACCCAAGTTATTACAATGTTTTCATACATTATGTAAGACTTGCATCAAGACAAATGCACAACTTGATGGTCAAGTCAACATCTTCAAGTGTCCTCACTGTGACTCATCAATCGAGCTCAAAGAACTCAACGACGTGGAAGA